ATTTACATTTTGGGACAAAATGACTTAAGTTGGGGTAGAATTTGCATTAATTTTTTTCCTTGCTTATTCGATTGATTGAAATTGAGTTATTTTGATTTTGATGTGTTGAGATTTCTTGTTGCCTATATGATATTTCGCTTTGATTCTCTGATTTCATTGAGAATTTTCACCTTGTATTTATTGGAATTTAGGATGCATGATAGTAATTGGCATGATTAATTGATTTTTCTTAAATTATTCTTGGCTTTCCATGAGTTTGTTAGTTGAGTTGATTGCATGACTTAGTACAATTAACCCTTTCATGTGAGTTTTGAGCTTAATGAGTATACATTTACTTTCTTGCTCTTTGTTTAATTTGAGTGTGCTAACTAATTACTTACATTCTAGAACTTATAGTGTAATGCTTGTCAAGACTACACGATTGAATGTGATGCTTTAGTGTGATAGAGGCATTAGGATTTAACCCTTTCTCTTCCCAAAAAATAGCCTACACTTTTTATTATTTTTCCACTAGTTAGTCAATTTTGAGCCTTAATCCTTTTATTTGTTTACCACATTATTAAACCGAGCCAATCTTATTTTTCCCCTCTTTTTGTCACCCTTTTGAGGACAAAGGTAAAATTGTTCTGCGAAAAAAATAGAAAGAAGAGTTTGAAAAAAAATTAAAAAATTACACTGTTCGAACATGCAAAAAAATTGAATAGTGCAGTGCAGTGCAGAAAAAATACAATGTAGATTCGAATGAGTAGAAAAAATAGTGCAGAAAAAAAAGATTTGAATATGCAAGAGAGAAAAAAAAAGAAAATGAAAAAAATATGAATGAAAGCTTGATTATTTAGCTCTTTGCTTTCTTTTGAATAGAATTGAGGAATAATCTTCTCTTTGTCTTGAATTTTTAACCCTATTTTTTGCTTTTATCCTACCCGAACCATAGCCCTGTTACGACCCTTTGAAAGACCTCTGGATTATTACATCCTGTTCATACTTAGTAGTGGAGATTAGATTTAGTTACAAGCTTATGATAATGTTTTGATTAGTTAGAATTGAGTGATTCTTTTACCCGAAACTCTTTGAGCAAAATGAGTGAACCACTGTGAGTTACTAAGTCTTGCTTCTTTGAAATTAACGGATAATTAGAATGTCATGCATTGCTTAAACTTGCTTTTAGTTGTGCCTTTGTTAATTGTTCCATAATTTCAACATTTGCTATGATTTTGATTTACTTGGAAGTCTTGGAAATTTTGTGAAATAGAAGATGACAACTTGAAAATTTGACATTTTATTTGGGAAATGCTTGAGGCCAAACATTGAATAAGAGAGGGGAATTTGAAATGTAGTTTAAATATTCATTATTTTATCTTTAATTACTCCTCGTTGTTTAGTTTTTTATTTTTTTGATTTGGGCTTTTCTATTTATTTTCTGTGTAGGACGTTAGATTTCAGAAACGATACTAAAATAGCGCAATTCTGCAAAATTTTTATTTTCTGGAGTCAAGGCTGGATTAATGGGCATGACTGCATCCAACCTAGCAACTTCTAGAAGATCCAATCGGCATTTTCTAGAAGGTCCATTCAATATTCCTGAAAGACGAACGATTCGCTTCAAATTCAAATTCGAATTAGAATTTATTTTTAGTTTTTAGGAATTATGAATTAGAACTATCACTTAAGAGTGTTATTATTTATAATTATTTCCTATTTATTAGGATTTATCTTTTAGGATTTATTTTTCTTGTATAATTTAAGAATTATATCTTGATATTTCTACGTATTTTTAGGATCTTTAGGAGGCTATAAATACCCCACTGGGGTAAGCCAAAAAACATCTCTCATCTCTCGAACTACTTTGTTCTTTGCTTTCTTTAGTTGAATAAAGCATTATTTTCTTTTCTTTATTTTTTTCAATTTCTTTATTTTTCTTTTAATGCCAAGCATGATTTCTATCATGTTTGGCTAATTTTTCAATAAGCCAAAGGCTGAAGCAGTGACTCAATCCAATCTTGTGAGAATAAAAAAAGGTACGTAATTTTCTTAGATTTTTTTCTTGAATTTTTGCCAAACCAAGGAAGGCAATCAGGCTTTCTTCAACATCTTGACATCTTCAATCCAAGAAGTACACATTGGCTTGATTGACATTGTGATCTACAGTTGGGGAGGAGAATCAGCTTCTAGCAAGTTCAATTTCTTAAGAACAAACTTAGCGACGGTCCGCTAAGGGAAATCAAGATCGAGTTCAGTTCTCATTGAGACACCATAATCCGAGCATGATATTTTCCTATTTTTGAACCAATACCGGCATTAACATCAATAGGTGTTGTTAATCCTAACAAGGATTGTATTCCATGGATTGATTTTGGAATATTATTTCACCAGAGAGAAGAGTAAGTTACAAGGGTTAGATCTTGTAGACTGTAACAAAAAAATATCTAAGGTAAAATCTATTTCATTGATCAAGACATGATTGAGGTAAGGCAAAGCTGGAGGCTATCTTTCATTAATCGTCTTTTCTACAATTTATTTTTATTGATTTATTTATTTAATTTTAGTTCAGTTGATTATTCCAAACCCCACTTCTTTTTAATTATTTGTTTTTACAGTTTTCTTGGTTAGAATCAAACTCAAATTAGAAACAGATATTTCCATATTCCCTGTGGATCGACCTTTTTTCTCACTATTCTACCTATATTATTTCTTGAGATCAAGGATAATTTATTTGACAGGAAAACGACGCTTATCACTGGCCCTCTTGGATAGATTCTACGATGACCTCACAGACTCAGTCGCTCTCCTAGACTGTTCCACAACCTCACTCGACTGTCGGGCTCTCATACTCAATACCTTCTCAGTCGTCTTCGCCTGGTGGGATAACTCAGTAAAGACTGTGGGAAGGTCGGCTACAAGGTGAGACAAAATGTCGAGGTTTAGGCCCTCTCTGAACCTACGATAATGGTGCTCCTCTATAGAGACCAACTTTGGCACGTATCTACTTAATTTGAGAAACTCTCGCTCATATGCCATAATTGAAGATCCCCTTGAGCCAAATGTAAGAACTGCTCCCTCATATTATCATTATGGGCCTCTCCTATATATTTTTGTCTGAACTCCGTTAAGGACATATCTCATGACAACCTCTCTGGCTCTAGTGTCAGCTCTATCATTTCCCACCAGTCAATGGTGTCACCCTTGAATAAGGCAGTGACGCACTCGAGCTTACCCTATGGGGTAAGGTATAACTGTCTGAGGGTGTGGAGAGTCTCCCTAAACCATTAGTCTACTGTTATGAGATCGTCATCCTCTGAACTGAAGAATTTGATGGTCTTATATCTACGGAGTCTCTCTACTAGAAACTCTTGGGATACTACAACTGGCTAGGCTGGAGGTGTTGGTGGGGGAGGTGGTGTAGTTGGGGCGCTAGGTATGGTCCTAATGATCTACAAAGAGTTTAGGTGAAAAAATTATAAAAAATATGAAGAAATATATAATTTATTTATAAATTTTATAAATTTTCCTAAAATTATGAAAATAATAAAAATAAAACAGAAAATATTTTAAGAATTCTAAATGATATAAAAACAAAAAATGTACAAAAGTATAAAATTCATAAAAAAATTAAAAAAGTAATTACCAACTATAAGTTTCTTTTATAAAAAAATTACAAAAAAGTAAATTTATATTGTAGATGAGCACGTATCGACCTTGCAAGTTGAATATTTCTTAATTACATGGTTTCAACGAGTTTCATGGGGAAATGCTCACGTGATGCAGTCTTAATATACTGCTAAAAAAACGTTATCAGTTTTATTATTGTTTAAATAACAAATTCAGTAAAAAATTACCGGAAACATTATTAAGCGCTAACGGTTTTGTATTATTGAGCTTTTTACCGAATTTGGTAAAAATGACCGAAAATTTTTAGATGCTACGGTTTTGTTATTGTTGGACACTTTTACCGGAAATGTTAAAAAATTGATGTTTTAGATAAAATAATAATATTTTAGGTAATTTTTTATCAATTTTATTATTTAAACAATAACCAAACCGGTAACGTCTTATTTTAGTCTTATATTAAAGTGGCACACTGTAAAACTTTCGAGTTTCATGACATTGGCAAGTTTCGGTGCATGAAGACGAAACAATTATTTTTGTAAAAACAGATTTTTTTTACCTTTGAGCTTATTTTTATAAAAGAAATTAATTTTAATTATTTTGTTTATAATTTTATGATTTTATAATTTTGTTTTCATATATATATATATATATATAAATATAAAATATATATATATTTTCAATTTTAGTAATTTTATAAAAATATTTTTAATAAAACTTTAAATATATTTTTATAATTTTTCTTATTTTCATAATTATTTACAATAGACTTAATAAAAATGTCATATAGTCAAGAATTATTATTCATGTATTATACCTTAAAAATATCCAACTTAAGAAATATCGAAAAAATCACACTCACATCTGACTTGAGTAGAGTTTAGGAGATCTCATCCAATCCGAAATTCGATCAAATTTTTTGGTCAAAAATCACACTCAACCTATATATATACAGGGTTAGAATCTAATTACATAGTGTAAAACTAAAAATTATATAGTTTTAGTTTTACACCATTTTAGGATCGTTAGATGAGGGGAAATTAAAGACTGAGATTAACAATAGGAAATGCGAAGACACTCACTAGAAAAAAAATAAGAAGTTAATCTCAACATTGATTTATCTCTTCCAACGATATTAAAAGTGTAAAACTAAAAAAATTACTATAAATGTAAGTGAATAATAACTCATATATATATATATAGATAGATAAATATTAAATAAAATAAGAATTTAATTAAAAAATCTTATTAAAATTATCTCTAAATTTATAAAAAATAATTATAATATTACACCAGGCTTGATCTGATTATTTATCACGATCCGACCCAATAATACCTCTAAAAAACCCAATCTGAATCCAATACGACTTAAGAAATATCCGAACTGGCAATTCACCTACCTTATCTCGTTGTTTCCCACCTATAAACAAACAACAGGAACTGAAAAACCAGAAGCAGAAGAAGCAACAACAGATTGGAAGACATGTCTGGTGCTGTCACAGATTCGGGCACCAATGTTTTTGGGTTTGGAAGCTACACCACTGTGCTTCAAAAGGTTGACTCAGTACCCACTCGTTCAGTGGCTGACCCACCCCCAAAACCACTCCTAATTGCAACACCTTCTGAAGCTGGAGAATTCCCGCTACTCATCTTCCTCCATGGCTATCTTCTGTACAATTCTTTCTACTCTCAGCTTCTCCACCATGTTGCTTCCCATGGCTTCATTCTTATTGCTCCTCAGGTAAACAGTCCTTATGATCTTAATGCTAAATTTGCTTCTAATTCACTTAGTTTTGGAGGAAGATCATACTTCTTTTAGTTTTGGCATATGTCAAATTTAGTCCCAAGCTTACTAAAATTGTTATTTTGGTCATGTTTTTTTTAATATTAATCTCAACTTTTATATTTTAGGTAAAAAAATCTTTAACGACTTATTGAATAGTCAGTGTGATCCTGATCATTTTTAGGGTATTTTGACACGAAATATTTCATTTTATGATAAAAATATTCATAATTTAGAATGTTACCCGTTTGATAACTAATAATTTTCATTAGAACTCTTTTTACTTAAAATAAATGATAACGGATAAAGTACCTAAAAGAATAAAAGTAAATGTAACTATTTAGTTAAATCGAAAATTATAAATATAACTTGTTAATATAAAGTTAAAAATTGTAGAAATCAATTATAACTGAAATTTTTATTAAAAGTATAACTTAGATAGAACAATATAACATTTTAGGTTGAAACAATATGTTATTTTTATAATATTTCCGGTTATAAGTAGGGATGGGCATTTAAACCTGACCCGACCTGATCGGGTCGGATTTTTCTAAAAATATTTGGGTTTGGGTCGGGTTTTTTTATGTGGTGTTCGGGTTGGGTTCGGGTTTGGGGGATCCGACTCGACCCAAAAAAAAATATAATTTTACCTTATATATTAGGAATAATTACAATAATACCCCTCTATATAATTTTTTTCAATTAAGTCATTGTTTTTATCGAATAAAAATAATTTTTTATTATTTCGGGTCGGGTCGGGTTGGATCGGGTTTCTATGTCATAAATTCGGGTCGGGTCAGGTGAAAACTTGTTTTGGTCGGGTCGAGTCTCGCGTGGAGGCTCTCTTGCTCTCGTGTCGGGTCGGGGGACCAAAACCCGACCCAACCTGACCCATGCCATCCCTAGTTATAAGTCTTAATCTGAGAAAATAATTTTTGTATATGACCGAAAATACTATCAATTTATTAAAATTTTAAACTAAATATTATAATATTATAAGTTAAAAATCATATTAAACTAGTCTCAAGTTAACTATCGCACAGCATAACTATCCTATTTAAGTGTTAGGATATTTTTTGTGATAATTATGTATTTTTCTGCAAAATTTCATTGAATTAGTGTGAAAAGCTTCAAACTGTGCTGGCGCCTTGTTCAGTTAACTTAGCTAGTAAGGCAAACCAAAGTTATTGTGAAAAGCTTGTGCTGTCTTATTATGGAGGTTTTTCAAACTAGCTTGATTATGATGTGACTTGTACAAGATATGTGAGCCATTGTGGTCCAGACTCCAGATAATTCATCTGATTGCTATTTACAAGGTCATGATTTTTCTTAATTGATTGCTATTTAATTGATATTCCAACAGCTTTACACCGTGGCTGGACCAGATGCAACCGATGAGGTTAAGTCCACGGCTGCAATAACCAATTGGTTGTCCAAAGGAGTACTCCAAGGGTTGCTTCCATCGGATGTTCGCCCGAACTTAAGCAAGCTTGCACTTTCCGGACACAGTAGAGGAGGCAAAGTCGCTTTCGCACTAGCTCTGCAGAAAGCAATGACTACGTTGAAGTTTTCGGCCTTAATAGGCGTAGACCCCGTCGATGGAATGGATAAAGGGAAACAAACGCCGCCTCCGGTACTTACCTATGTTCCGCATTCGTTCGATCTTGATATGGCGGTGATGGTTATCGGTTCGGGTCTTGGTGAAGTTAGAAAGAATCCTTTGTTTCCTCCTTGTGCTCCCAAGGGAGTTAACCATGAAGATTTCTTCAAAGAATGTAGGAAACCGGCCTGTCATTTCGTTGCCAAGGACTATGGTCATCTCGATATGTTGGACGATGAGACTAAAGGATTACGAGGACGTTCGTCATATTGTTTGTGCAAAAATGGGAAGGCTAGGGAGCCAATGAGAAGGTTTGTTGGAGGAGTTCTTGTTGCTTTCATGAAAGCTTATCTTAATGGAGATAACACCGACTTGATTGCTATAAAACATGGGCATGAAACGGCACCGGTGGAGCTTAAAACGGTCGATTTCCTTGTTTAAACACACTGTAAAGCATATGTTTACAACAAGATCTTATACAATAATTTCACTGGTTTGCCTTGCTTGTAATTCTGACTGATTACATGAAAGTTTTCTCATCAAAGAAAGGAGGTTGTTTAGGCATGGGAAGGTTTTCTATCTCACTGCTAAGCATCAAAGCAACCATTGACATAGGTGGCCTATCTTTAGCAAAGTTCTGCACACACAGGAGTCCCACATGAATGCACCTCGACATTTCCTTGTGACAGCTTGGATCCGATGAGATCAACGGATCTATCAATTCCGAAACCTGGCCTTCGCTCCATAATTTCCATGCCTGAAAAAGCGCAAGGGTTAAGAATAGTTACACTTACGTATCCCAAAAGGTTCTGTGAATGCTCATCTTCCTGAAAACTTGAGTTTCTTCTTCCACAAACAATCTCCAATGTCAATACCCCAAAGCTAAAAACATCTGATTTTTCTGAGAATTGCCCTTTCATTGCATATTCAGGGGCCATATAGCCACTGCACGTAATTCATCACCAAAATGAAAACCATTTAAGCCAAGATGATTATATATATATATATATATATATCTCAACATTAAGGATAGCTTACTATGTTCCGAAAACCCTGTTAGTCTTTGCTTGACTCTCCTTGCTGCAAAATATATTTGCTATACCAAAATCTGAAATTTTTGGATTTAGTTCTCCATCTAACAAAATATTACTTGCTTTTAGATCTCTATGAACAATTCGCAATCTCGAGTCCCTATGAAGATAGAGAAGCCCCCGACAGATTCCTTCTATAATGTTGAAACGCTTTCTCCAATCAAGAACTTTTCGTTTCTCTGAATCTAATTGAAAATGGAAAATCCAAATGGTGTTGGCTAGGTTGGTTTTAGGTTGAATAATGATTAAGATGAACAAAAATATCTAACCAAAGAGAGAAACGTCCAAGCTCTTCTTTGGCATGTATCAAATACCAACATCCTTTCTTCCCCATCAATGCAGCACCCAAGAAACCTTACAAGATTTCGATGTTGGAGTCTCGAAATCACCGTCGCCTCGTTCATGAATTCTTCCGGCCCCTGTCCTGATGCACTAGAAAGTCTTTTCATGCTATTTCCTGCCCATCATGGAGCTTTCCCTACAATGTTGCAACATCTAGATTTTCAATATACGGGGCTGTTTAAAGACTTAATCTTATTGATGGACATTACCTTGTATACTAGTCCAAAACCTCACTTTCCAAACACATTAGTTGGATGAAAATTGTTTGTTGCAGTGACTAGTTTCCCATAGTCTAATGGTTGAAGCTCCTGGAATTTGACTCCACTTTCCCAAGCACATTGTAAGGGAAAAGTTCTGGACGTGATTCATCTTTCTTTAAATGATCTTCATTTCCTATCCTTGTAATCCTCCATCCAACGAAAGAACAGAAGACACCAATGATTGTTGCTAACTATTCCTGCTATCATGCCTGTAAATTGAACCTGGTATATGTATTTTTATGCATAAATATCATGATGCTAGCAAGAACTATCATACCTTCACAGGAGAACTCGATGTGTTGCCGGTTTTCATGCTGCATTCGGTGCATGAGTAATAGTATTTGGAATTAACCAATCATTTCCGCTGGTTATTAGCTTCACCGATGAAGCAACACTGGGAATAATCCCAGACAAATTGTTGTTGGAAACATCTAGGACTTTGAGATTAGGCAACTTCTTCATGCACTCGGGGATAGAACCGATCAAGTTATTGTCACTTAGATTCAAATACTGCAACTCTGTCAGATTACCCAAAGCTGGAGAAATCGTTCCTTGCAGTTGCTGGTTCCGTATATCGATATCGGTAATGTTATTTCGTAGTTGCATTTCACAAATGACCAATTCCTACATGCGTCATTGCCTTTCCAACATAAGGACAACTTATAAGGATACATCCAAGCATTTGCAATCTCGAGCAATGCTGTAACTTGAAAATCACAGGGGTCTCCAGTGTCTGTGCAGTAATTATTATAGAGAACCATGGAAAACCTTATGAGCATATGATGCAGGGGGATCCGAGACACATGATGCTGATCTGTCATATTGCACCTTGATGGCGCTGAGATACCATGAATTGACAGATCAGCGCAAAGGCGGGAATTGATTGTGACATGTTCCTCATTGGGGTCGTTTTAAGTATGTTTCAGTCTTTTGGCCATAACTTTGGCTACAGGTGTCAGAATCGCGCATAAAACCCCAATCCGGAAAGCTCTTTTCGATGCGCACGCTCTCCACATTTACGCTCCATATGACCTTTTTTTCAATCTCAAATTCTGCGTTTTCTCCTCCGAATCACTAGATTTAGATATTTTTTATTTATGGTAATATTTCGATTGTCAATTAGGAAGTAAATTTAAATCCGATTTAGGCCGGATTTTTGAAGATTGCTTATTTTATTTCGAATTTCAATTTAGAGTGATTTTCGGGATTTTGCTATTTTTGGCAAAATTTGAATAAAGACGATTTTTGGCTATAACAGTCCGGCTTGTGGACTGATTTTGGGGATTGTTTGATTTTATAATATTTTATTAAACCCTAGAGACTTTTTTCTCTGATTTTTTTTTACGAATTTTCTCTTATAAATCATCTGTTGGAGCGCCTGCAGTATAATTTATTATTCTGTCCGGCGTCAGCATAAAAGAAGGGAAAGGACCCTGCAACATATTATAATCGACAAAAATGAATTTCAAACTCGGACGTGAACCGAGAGATCGCGGCACAACTCCGGTGAAGTAACTCCAGTGAAGTTATTGTACCAGTGTTCTAATAGTCGCAAGCGTTTGCAGTTAGTTAAATCCGGGATGGTGCCTGTAAACTGATTGTATGCTAAAGCAAAAATTTGCAAGCTTGTTCAATTAGATAAATCCGGGATGGTGCCTGTAAACTTGTTGTTTCTTAACCCAACCGTAGACAAAGAATTCATGTTTGATAACATATCAATGGTTCCTGTTAGACCTACCTTCTGATAAAAAAGAAGCAATTCTTGAATCTGGGATCTCCAAAGAGATGGTGGAAGAGAACCAGTCAAGTTATTTTCTTCAAGGCTGAGAGTTGTTAAAGCTAGAGAATCGAAAATATCGGGAATGGATCCTTCTAAGTTTGTGTTATTAGCTTAGAACACACTGAGATTTCGGAACTTGGTGAACTCAAGGGGGATAGTCCAGGTTCCTAGAAATGGATTCTGGCCAAGTATCAAAACCTGCAAATTGCCAGAAAGTCCTTGAAAAAATCCTGCGGGGATTGTTTTGAACTTGTTCCTTGAAAGACGAAGGACTTGAAGGCAAGGGAAAGGAGGGAATTCGGATGGCAAAGAACCACCGAGAGCCATGTCGTTAAGATCAAACTCTACAACGTGCATGGAACTGGCACATTTGACACCGTGCCATTTGCAGTAGGAAAACGATGAATTGGTCGACCAAGTCGGCGGCAGAGGACGAAGAGCCGCGGCAAGCTTGGCCATGGAAGCGGAGTCGTCAGAGTCGTCATCACCGCTGCAGTTAACCGAAAGGAGAGAAAACACTAGAAATAGAAGGAATGAACCTGAAAATTTTATGAAACTCATGATGAGGATGACTTCCAAAATTGAGTTTAATTTTATGAAACTCATGATGAGGATGACTTCCAAAATTGAGTTTTGTATTGATATACTGTAAATTTTTGTTTTCAAGGATCTTTATCTTGTAATATCAATGATGGGAACTTCAAAATAATTCAAGTGAGTGTTTAGTGTGGAATGATTGAATCTTGCAGTCGGCAAAGATTATGTATTATTGTCAATTTCAATGATCATAATCAGGCTAGCTTTGTTTTTCTGGGCTAAAAACCAAAGCTTTAAGCAATGTTCTTGCTGTCCACGAGACTAATTGTTTAAGATTGTTGCCGAACTTCGCATTATGTTTCTTAAAAAAATTAAGGGTAAAGTATACAAATGGTCTCTTTACTCTATAGTATTGTTTTTATTGAGTTCATCGATTATTAAAAGTTATAAATAAATTCCCTAAATATAAAATATTGTTTTCTTGAGTCTCTAACTATTAAAAGTTACAAAATGATCACCCGCCTATTCATATGTTCAAAACTCGTTATTTTTCATTAAAAATTGATAATAACCTTAGCTAGACGTTAACCCTACTAATTAAGGTATAATAAATAATATTTTAATGATATCTATTGGCACAACCGTTGCTTTCAAACACTCAACGAATGAAAAAATAGCACCGAATTTTGGATTAAGAAGATGCGAAAGTGTCTTTCCCCCTATAAGAACAGTGCGTTCCGAGGTATTCTCAAGCGGAAAGGGACCTATTTTTCTATTTTAAGAAATGAAAAATCTTATCTATCAAATCATTGTACATTTAAATTTGAATCAGGAATTCTGAATACAAATATACAACACGACGATATAATGTTTTAAGTACTAGCTCGATGATATAATATAAACAAAGAGTCGATCCACAAAATACAACTCAAACAGTTCTAGGATAACATATTATTATATTTTAGTCAATAGGTTAACGTTCAACTTAGATCCTCTCCAATTTTTTAACAGAAAATGACGAATTTAAAACATATGAATAGTCAGATGACCATTTTGTAACTTTTAATAGTCAGAGAATTCGACAAAACAATATCCAATAATCAAGGAACTATTTGTATACTTTATATAAAATTAAATACTTAACAGAGTTTATATTATTTTTAAATTTAATTTTTATATTTTTTACAAATTAAATGTCATATTATTTTAATTTGAAAATTTATTTTTCTAATTTCAATTCAATTTCAAGTCAATTGAGGACTTGATAACATAAAAAAAGTAGACTACTTTTTTCAATAATCTATATTTTTATTTTTGTAGTAATTTGATCCTTAATCTTTAAAATAATTAATACAATTTCTTTATTTGTCTCCAAATTTCCTTGTTATATTTTTCTCAACATAAGTTCTACGGCAACATCTTAGAAAATATTGTCAATGGTTAATATTATTTGGCTTGTTTGTAATTGTGAGTGATCCATGGCAGTTTTATCATCAAAGAAAGGAGGTTGATTTGGTGTAGGAAGATTTTCTACCTTAGTGCTAAGCATTGAAGCCACCATAGACATGTCTGGCCTATCTTTCACAAAGTTCTGCACACACAGCAGTCCCACTTGAATGCATCTCAACATCTCCCTGTGGCAACTTAGATCCGATGAGATCATTGAATCTATCAGTTCCGAAACCTGGCCTTGGCTCCACAGTTTCCATGCCTGAAAAACCACAAGGCTCAAGGCTTTGGAATTCAAAGAATGTCAAGAATACTTGAACTTACATATCCCATAAGGCTCAATGAATGTTCATCGTCCTGGAAATTTGAGTTTCTTCTTCCACTAACAATCTCCAATGTCAACACCCCAAAACTAAAAACATCTGATTTTTCTGAAAATAGTCCTTTCATTGCATATTCAGGGGACATGTAACCACTGCACTTAATTCATCACCAAAGCCAACATGAACATGATGTTATATATTAATATATGTATATATATTAATATGTGTGTGTGTGTAAATCTTGGATGGCTTACTATGTGCCGAAAACCCTCCTGGTATTTGCTTGACTCTCGTTGCCACAAAATATCTTTGCTATCCCAAAATCTGAAATTTTTGGATTTAGTTCTTCATCCAATAAAACATTACTTGCCTTTAGATCTCGATGAACAATTCGCAATCTCGAGTCTCTATGAAGATAGAGAAGTCCCCGACTGATTCCTACTATGATGTTGAAACGTTTTCTCCAATCAAGGACTTTCTGTTTCTTTGAATCTGATTGAATATCACCAACATGAATGTGTTAGCTAGGTTGGTTTTAGGTTGATTACTGATCTTTTTTGACAGTAATAAAAAAAAGGGTATCTAACCAAAGAGAAAAACATCCAAGCTCTTGTTTGGCATGTATTCATAGACTAACATCTTCTCTTCCCCATGAATGCAGCATCCAAGAAGCCTTACAAGGTTTCGATGTTGGAGTTTCGAGATCACCGTGGCCTCGTTCGTGAATTCTTCTAGCCCCTGTCCTGATGCTCTTGAAAGTCTTTTCACTGCTATTTCCTGCCCATCTTGGAGCTTTCCCTACAATGTTGAAACATCTAGATTTTCAATCTATGGGGCTGTTTAATGTCCTTAATCTTATTGATGGACATTACCTTGTATACTAGTCCAAAACCTCCCTTTCCAAGCACATTTGTAGGATGAAAATTGTTTGTTGCAGTGACTAGTTTCCCATAGTCTAATGGTTGAAGCTCCTGGAATTTGACTCCACTTCGTGATTTCCCAAGCACATTGTGCGGGGGAAATTCTGGACACGATTCCTCTTTCTTTGAATGATCTTCATTGCCTATCCTTGTAATCCTCCATCCAACAAAAATACAGAAGATGACACCAATAATTGTTGCTATAACTATTCCTGCTATCATGCCTATTTTTTTACCTGCAAATTGAACCATGGCATAAAATAATATGTAAAAAATCCAACAAGAAACATTAAATGGAATACGATCAAACAAATCGAAGTAGATTCGGTGTCATACATACCCTTTGGAGGAGAATTCGATGAGCCTGTTTTCGTTATTCCGTTTGGTGGATCGGAAGCTCTGTTCGGAATTAGCAAATCATTTCCACTTGTTATTAGCTTCACCGAGGGTGCAAAACAAGGAATAATCCCAGAGAGATTGTTGTTGGAAACATCAAGGAGTTTGAGATTAGGTAACCTGGTCAAGCTCTCAGGGATAAAACCAGCCAAGTCATTGTCATTCAGATACACATACTCCAACTTAGTTAGATCACCAAATGCTGGAGAAATTGTTCCTTGCAGTTCCTGGTCCCGGAAATCGACCGTGGTAATATTTTTCTCCCGGTCGCATGTCACGAATGACCAATTCCTACATGCATCATTTCCTTCCCAAGCTAAGGATAACTTATAAGGATACATCCAGGCGCTCGCGATATCGAGCAACGTCGTAACCTGAAAATCGCAGGGGTCTCCGGTGTATGTGCAGTAATTATTATCGAGAATACTGGCGTACTTCATGACGATTATAGAAGAAGGACAACGACCCTGCAACCTGTTGTCGTTAACAGAAATGACTTCTAATCTAGGATGTGAAATTAGAGATGGAGGGAAAACTCCTGTAAGATTATTGTACTGCAGATCTAATGTTTCCAAGGTTTTGCAATTCGATAAATCCGGGATGCTACCGGTAAGTCGATTGTATTGTAGCCTAACCCTGGACAAACAAGTCATGTTTGATAACACATCAATGGTTCCTGTTAGTCCATCCTTCTGCATATGAAGGTTCAAATATTTAATCTTGGATTTCGAAAAAGAGGGTGGCAAAGATCCTGTCAGGTTATTTAAATGAAGACTCAGATTTGTTAAAGCGCTTAGAGAATCGAAAATGTCTGGAATGTAACCTTCCAAATTTGTACTATAAGCATAGAATGCCGTAAGATTCCGGAACTTGGAAAATTCAAGGGGGATCATCCAGGTACCAAGAAATGGATTATCACCAAGGATCAAAACCTGCAAATTTCCAGAAAGTCCTTGGAAGAATCCTGGTGGGATTGTTTTGAACTTGTTCTTGTTTAGGTGGAGTTCCTTCAAGAGAGGGAGTTTGGTTAAAGACGGGAGAGAACCAGTTAACTTGTTCATTGAAAGACGAAGGATTTGGAGTGAAGGGAAAGGAGGGAATTCAGATGGCAAAGAACCATAGAGATTCTTGGCGTTGAGGTTAATCTGTAGAACGTGCATGGAACTGTCGCATTTGACACCTGGCCATTCACAGTAGGAAGACGATGAATTGGTGGACCAATTTTGAGGCAAAGGTTGAAGAGCCGAGGCAAGTTTGGCCATGGAAGCAGAGTCATCGTCATCGTTATCACACCTGGAGATGACCGAGAGTAGAGAAAACAGTAGGAAGAGAAGGAAGACTGAAGCTGAGAATTTTAAGAACGCCATGGATGAAGGATAAATTGGATTTCAGAACCTCCCAAATGAGTTTTGTCTCTTGGATTGTGTAGGGCCGAATGATATAAACTTGGCAATGTCATTTTCTTTCTTGAATTCTTGCAGCCGGTCGAGATTCCATGATCAAAATAAAGCTGGCTTGCCTTGGTTTTTTCACTTTCTGGGATAATTGGCAAAAAGAAGACAATAATAATAAAAGTGCTTTGGGTTTTTTGAAATTGTATGTTGAAGCCCAACAGAACCCAAGTATTCATTTTAGCCCAATTTGATGGCCGACGATACAAACCCCCTAATAACCTTTACTCTTCACTTCCTCAGGCTATGACTGTTAATATAATGGCCCGAATTGAATACCCAACCCATCCATAACACTCTTCATACATAGAAATTTACCATTAAACCATAGTTTCTATTCTTTTGATTTTCTTTTCATTTCCCTGGTAAAAGATAATGTTATTTTTCCTATAGGCTCACAATTTAAATAATTATGTTTGTACGATATGTATATAGTTTATAGCTAAAAAATATAGAACATTTATTATATTATAATTATCATTAATCTAAAAAGATCAATATTAACATTTTAATCAGATACTTAATTGTATTAAAATATTTTTTAAACATAATTGTATTGAAATGTTTTAATGAGTACACTACTTTTTTTTATCATTAGACTCGCTGAATACGTTTAAGTTTTAACGGATTTAATTCTAAATATCGGAAATGGCTTGGAAATAGAGTGATAAATGAGGAAGTTGACAAAGAGGATGGCGTTAAATACGAAAACGCATTAATCCCAGGAGGGCCAGGACAGGGATCCTCGTATATGTACAAGTAAAAAAGGTTGATGATGGGATGTGTTTGAACCTTCGAGTGGGGCGGCAAATCACTAAGCTGACAATGATGGTGTGGTGTGGCCTGCTAATGTTGCCACTCTGTGTCTTCGCGTCTGGCCGGAGAAAAGACGATAAATCATTTATATAATTTTCAGTTACATAATGATTTTCTTTCATCCTAGCTATTCTTTTTAACATACAAATAGTTACATAATAGTAGTTGAAGAAAAATTGGCATCCAAAGGAAAGAAACGATCTCTAAAAAGAAGAAACACTACTTGATATGACCAATTTATGACATTCACATGCAACTTCGAGGAAGGACGACAAATTTCCCTACACAAAAAGCCACAACAATAATAAGCCGTCCAAGACAACCTTCTCGGACAACTTCGTATTTTTATCCCCACCTTTAATTTGTTCTCATTAACACTCTTTCCTCGAACATTTCTTCTCCTTTTTCACTTATTCTCTTTCCATCACCTATAAATGCCCTCCTTTTGTTCCAATCTTCTCACCATTGGGGGTTTGTTTCGCACGTGTTGAATGGAGTCCCGAAACACTGTTGTTTTCGAAGATTTTTCCCCCGCCATGGTCGAGAAGTTGGGTGCGGAAGGCTTCATGAAGGAGCTCTGCAACGGATTTCGATTGCTTGTTGACGGGGACAAAGGGGTGATCACGTTCGAGAGCTTGAAGAAGAAGTCGGCATTGCTGGGGTTGCAAAACATGAGCGATGAAGAGGCCATGTGTATGTTGAGAGAAGGAGATATGGATGGGGATGGCGCTTTGAATGAGATGGAATTTTGTACACTCATGCTTAGGTTGAGTCCTGAGTTGATGAACACTTCCATGAAATTGTTGGTTGAAGCTGTTGTCAATTTCTAGACCGTTTCATTGAAATAGTTCCTGCATCATTTTGTCCAATTATTGCATGCAATGAAATTTTAGGCTATTCATCCCTCTTCGGATCTGACTCAGGTCATCTTCATATGCTACCTTTGTAAGTGTAAACAAGCTCTCCTTCAAATTGATCAATGATCACCAGTATAGTTCAGCAAGACTCTACACCGGAAATCAATCCTTCTTCAAATGGATATAATATTAGAGGAAGCAAACGAACTAAAACTGATAGTTTAAATACTAAACAAATAATTTTCTTATATAATATATAACTTTTATTAATGATTTTCAATATGAAGAATTTGGTATATATTCTTAAAAATCAAATTTCTTAATAAATAAGAGTTTAATGTAGTTGTAGAAAGTGGATAATATCTAAAAATAACACTCATATATGATAGGGTGACGAGTATGGTAAAAATATAGCATCTACCAAGAACTTTTGGGGCCTAAGTAGTTCAATGTGAAAAAAAAAAGCAAGATCTAGACATCTCAAGATTCTCGGATGCATCATATATCCTAACATGTTTAAACAAATAAAAAAAGAAATTCGATAATAGATGAGAGAAAAGAATATGCATTAGTTATAAGGATTAAGTGCATTGTTGCCCCTAAACTTTACACTTTTTACCGAGTTGTCTCTTAAAATATTTTTTAGAGTGTTTTGTTCTGTTGAGAAACAAGAATTTCTGAAAATAGAAGAGAATATTATTGCTTGATTTCCAAAGCATGCATACACTGTTATATAGCTCACAACTAAAGTCTTACTACTAACAAACTCAAGCCTAACTGCTACTAACAACTCTGGTAACAATTACAACAAACTAACAACCAACCATAACAACATGCACACATAAGCTTACTTAACATTCTCCCCACTTTTTCCTTCTCCCCCGAGAAATGACTGGACATTGAGCTTCGCATGAAAAACTTTAAACTGAGTTGAAGAAAACGGCTTGGTCAACCCATCAGTTACTTGATGACTAGCAGGAACATAGTTAACTAACACCTGCTGAGCTGCAACTTTTTCACGTATAAAATGAACATTGAGCTCCACATGCTTTGTCTTAGCATGATAGACTGGATTTGCAGTTTTGGCCACTGCACTGCTATTGTCACACCACACCACTTGAGTCTTTGACTGCTTAATCTCTATATCCAAGAGAATAGCACTCACCTAAGTTGTTTCTGCAATAACATCACAACACTTCTATATTCTGCCTCTATGGTATCTTGAGGCATACTTCTGCTTTTTATAACTCCAAATAACCAAATTATCACCAAAAAGACACAATTACCTGAGATAGATCTTCGATCATCTGTATTTCCACCCCAATTAGCGTCAGCAAAGGCAATAACATGCAGACCTGCCACAGCTGGGACTATAACTAGACCATGATTAAGTGTGCCAACCAAGTATCATAAAATCCTTTTAACTGCAACAAGAAGACCTTGCCTTGGTGCATGCATGTATTGTGTTACCTTGTTAACGCTGAACGTAATATATGGATACGTATGACAGACATAGAGAAGTGCCCCAACAATACTTCGATATTCATAAGCATCAGGAAGCAGATTCCCCGCATCCTGTGTAAGCTTTGATGTTGCCAGCATGGATGTAGATGCAAACCCAACATTTTCCATCTTGGTCTTCATTAACAACTCCAAGATAAACTTTCATTGACTAAGAATTAATGCCTCACCACATCTCTTAACCTCGATGCCAAGGAAGAAACAAAGTTCTCCAAGATCTTTTAAAGCAAATTCATCGCCCAACAATTTTACGACCTCTTCAATTTGAGTATTTGAGTCTCCTGTTACCACAATATCATCCACATACACCAACATGTACATATACTGCCCTCTAACACAACGAACAAAGAAAGAAGTATCTGCCTTGGACTCCTTAAACCCTATTTGAACCAAACACTATTTTTACTTGACATGCCAACTCCTAGGCACCTGTCTCAAGCCATACAAAGCCTTTTTAAGTTTACATACCAGCTGAGTACCTTCAGGAGCTCTTTGTTCAAACCTAGGTGGCTGCTGCATGAACACATCTTCATGTAAATCTCCATGTAAAAACACATTGTTTACATCGATATGACATAACTGCCAACCCTTTATTATAGCTAAGGAAAAAACCACATTAAGCATAGCAAACTTCACCACGGGACTAAATATTTCATTGAAGTCATGACCTGGGACTAGTGAGTATCCTTTTGCCACCAACTAAGCCTTGTATCTACTGATAGAACCATTAGGATTCTTCTTCAACTTAAGTAACCACTTAATCCCAACCATAGTTCATCATTCAGGCAGTGGAACAAGTGGCCATGTATCATTTTTTTGTAAGGCTTCAAGTTCAACATATACAACATTCTTCCAATGAGAAGATTGAAGAGCTTCATACACGTTGACTGGTTCTATAGTATCATAAGAAACCGAATATACTTTAGACTTGAAGATACCACGCTTACTTCTTAAGCATCGGATGTCGATTTGTTCTAGTCTCCTCATCAACTCCTGCACCGGAAACTCCATCACCATACGTATTCAACACCTTAGTGCAGGGCTCCACATCATTACCGACATCAGCTGCATCATTAGAAGTAACCTCCAAAGTCGAGCTTGAAGACTCATACTCAGGTACTTTAGACACACTTTCATGTATCAATTCATCACTGACATTATTATTAACCAGCTCAACTGACACAGCAATATTGCCCAAATGACTACTGCCAACTTGCAACTTGCTAACATCAGTAACAATCTCAATGGAACCCGATTTCACCACCCCAGTCACTCTGCACAGCTTTGATGGCTACACTAAATTGAGTCAACACCATCTGCTGAAATAATTTAAACATTGTCACTGCTTGAGACCTATCTGTCAAGAAATATACCCACGAATACCGAGAATACGCATCAACAAAAGATAAATAATAACGATAATCGTTGAACATAACATGAGTTGGTCCCCAAATATCAGTAAAAATAAGCTGAAAATGTGTAGTATAAACATAATGTGAATCAGAAAATGGCAATTTATGACTTTTACCAATGCAACAAGCTTCACACATATTATTCATATCCTTAGAAATCTTTACATCAATCGTTTTACAAAAAACAGCCACAATGTTATACATGGCATGACCTAATCTTCGATGCCAATGATCGAACACATCTACAACAACAACTAAATTAGCAAAAGCATTTCTACAAAAGTCTGGAAGATGTTCTCCTGAGAAAATATACAAGCCTCTTTCAACATGTCCAAACAACAACATTTCCTTTATAGTAACATCACGAACACAATACCGTTGAGCATGAAATTCAAAGTACACACCATTTTCCCTAGAAATCTTGGACACCGAGAAAAGATTATGTGTTATTCTAGGCACGTGAAGCATATAATTTTGTAACAAAGACCTAGTTGGTTTCACTAAGGTAGCATCACCAATCATATCGACATGCAAAAAAACACCATCACCAACCATGAGCTTACCTGGACCACCATGCTCCACCCTATGGGTAATATTACCAGAATTTGGACTCACATGATGTGTAACGCCATAATCCACCACCCATTGATGAGGATCTATTTGCTGCAGACTGACTTTGAGAATTACTCAAGCAACACTCACAACCAGACTTGTCATATGAAACATTATTAGCATTGGTTGAGTCCCCTGCATAATAAGAACGACTAGAATTAGTAGAAACAACGTGAAAATCCTCATTATAATGATGTCAGCACCTGTCAACAAGATTATCAGGTTTCCCACACAGTTGACACTACACACGCGGTCAACCACGTCCATAAGCACCTCTTCCACCAGCCCTACCTCCAGAATATGATGAATGATGAGATCGCTCATTGTGTGAGTAATAATTAGATACACACTTAGTAGAATCTACACCACGGGCAATATAAGCACTAGCCAGCACCACCTCTTCTTAAGCAGTAAACCCGACCAACTGAGTTTTAGCATCTATAAGGATTGTACACACCTTATCTAAAGAAAAATATTATCCACTGGTAGTTATAACATTTATGAAAGGCTAATACTCGCGAGGCAACCTTTTCAATATACTCACAACCTGACCAATTGGGGGAATAACACTACCACAAGACATCAGGGCATCACAAATTTTTTTAACTCAAGAAAAATACACTAGCAAAATATCTTCTCCTTTCTTGAGAGACTGCAATTTACAAATGAAGGTTCATAATAGCAGTTGATGATCTGGAGGTAAAAAATTGTAGAATAGTATTCCAGACCGTAAAAGCAGTATCCGCTCCAACAAACTAAGAGAGCAAGTGCTAGCTAATAGTTGACAACAACCAAGATGCCAATGCACTATCCTAAGCGAAAAAAATCATCATAAGCCTCATTTGGAACCATTGTACCATCTACAACAGCAACTCACTCAGGCAGAGGCTTCATCGCACCAGTAAGTAATCGCTTAAGACGATGACTGCGAACTATGAGAAGCACTTGTTGTTTCCACAGTAAAAAATTCATCTCATCAAGTACAACATTAATCTTTTTGTTTGTAAACATTATGACTTTGCGCGAAAGAGACTCAACTTCACCAACAGTCAGAGGAGATGACATGATCAAAACATCGAGAATACACCAGCAGAAGAAAGATCACCAAGACTTTTGGCGATTGATACCATGTTGAGAAATAAGAATTTTCGAAAATAGAAGAAAATATTATTGCTTGATGTCTAAAGCATGCATACACTACTATATAGCTCACAACTAAAGCCTTATTGCTAACAAACTCAAGCCTTACTGCTAACAAACTCAAGCCTAATTGCTACTAACAAATATAGTAACAGTTACAATAAACTAACAGCCGACCATAACGACCTGCACACATAAGCTTACTTAACATGTTCCATGAAGTTTAAATGTTACTTCATTTGTTCCAATCAATTAACTCTGCTAAAAAATATGAGAGTAAATTACATCTTGAGTCATTTAACCATTCATGTAATTTTATTTTGGTCACTCATTATATTCTTTTTCAAAATCATCACTAAACTTAAACTTAAGTTTTTGAAAATTTAAGTTTCGTAGTTAGGTAACCAAAATGGAACCATGAAAATAGTTGATTGACTAAGTGTTTAATTTATCTTTATTGTTTTTAACGGAATTAATGGTTTGGAATAAACGAGGTAATAATTTAAACTTCAATGAACAAAACGTCTCGAAAAAATATTTTAAGGAACAACTCGTTATAAATGACATAATTTAGAGACAATGATACATTTAAACCTAGTTATAAAGAAAAAAATAAGGTATAAACCTTTCATTAAAAAATTATTATTTGAATAGATGTTCGAATTAAAAAAATGATTATTTGAATAGATGTTCGATTCGATGAAGTTAAAAACTTGAGATAAAGAAAAAAAGAAAAGAACGTTGAAAGATTTTTTTTCAATAGAGATAAATACGATGAGGATTTTACCAATCAAGATGAATATTATCCACAAATTCCTATTATAGCAGTTCCTACATCTACACTATCATCTAGTAGTAGTGGTGGCACCCCCTTTCAGAGAAATCCGCGGTTAATAGAAAATGTTTTTTTCGTATCTAGAGTGATTATAAGATAATTTTTTGTTCATAATTTTCTAGTCAATTAACAATTAACACGGACACACGTTATAGATTTAATTACTCAAATTAATTTTTAGAAAAAATAATACTCTTTTTTATTATTGAGGTCGAATACTTTTAATAAATTACATATTAATAGTTAATAAACTAAAAAAGAGTAAACTTAATACGAGTACCTATATAATATTTAAAGTTGCGAGAATCAAAATCTTGATAATTGGAACTAAAATTCACCAATTTACCAAGAAGCCATCGCCCCATTGATGTAAAATGTAGACAACTTTGTATAAAAAAAAATGTTATTCTCAAAAAGCAAGAGGGAATTCCCACATGATGCAATAGATTCTTAATATCTTAATGGGGTGGTATGAATCTGATGGCAAGTAAATTATGTACAGAATCTTGCTCCGATGGCCACATGAGCCATGCAATAGATGCTTTGAAAGCTTTACATCGCTCAATTTCACGCTCACAAAAAAATGTTTGCGAGCCAAGGAAAGTTAAACCCTGTCCACATTGCACGACCGACAACAACAAGGCTCCTAAAATATGATGCACACACACACACACACACAAGCAGGTCCACCACCACCACCATGTCCAGTATAAAAAGCCTGACAAGCTAATCTTCACGGCCTCCAACGCAACTAGAATCTTACTTTTTCACTCGAACAATCTCAACCACTAGTTTCTTTGGTGACCCACAAATTTCTTTTCCTCCGTCAGTTTGTCTCGATCAATTTAGTAACGGAATTAGATATACTTCTTAAGATAATAACATATATATATATATATATATATATATATATATATATATATACAAAATTTATTTAAAAGAGATGGATATGGGTTGAGTTGATCCGAATTTAAGATGATTTCATGTAATCTGAACCACGGTTTATCTTTTAAGATAAAATTTATATTTGTATTTGACTCGAAATAATTTATATAATTCATACATGTGTTTATAATTAAAACGTAATAAATTCGGATCTCATATCAAATATCAAAGTAGAGGTATACTCACTCTAAATAAGACGAAATCCGCGACTTCTATATTCTATGGTTAATTTGTTTTTTAATATTAGTCACTTTAATCTTTGAGTAAACAAACCATGTTTTCTTTGAGTAGACAAATATGTATCTAAGACAATAGGTGAAACCAACTCCGGTAACATCTATTCAATCCTCAATCATTTCTGGGTAATAATTCAAATTCCCATCAAAATGACGTATGCATTTAACATTGATATTGTATGGTTTCTAGTAGTGAGTATATTATGTTTTTCGGGTTTACATTATGTCAGTATCTTTGATTTATGAATTATGTTATGATTATGTGTGACTCAAGTCTTATTTATATATATATGTAGGGTTTGGAATATGATAGAAAATTATAGTTTTGAGTTCCTCTTCGAATGTTAATTCAGGATTTTTTAGAGGATAAGGTTATCTTATTTCATGTTTTGAGTTCTTCATCGAAGGTAAGTTCGAACTTCTCTTTGAAGGATTAGTCCCCATCATGTTTCCTATTTTGTGTTCTTCTTCAGAATTTAACTTGGATTCCTCTTTGAAGCGTTAGTCCTCATCATTTTCTTGTTTTAAGTCTCTCTTTACAAGTTCTAGGTTTGTCTTTTGAGGGTAAGATCCCTATCATGTGTGATTACAAGAAGACACGAGGCTATGTGAACTTCTTGTTACGATGTTTAGATGATAGTTAGGTCTATTGATTTGTCCGATTATTATATGTAAAGATGAAATTGGGATTAAATCTTGTGAGGGATAAAGTATACAAGTTCAAAATAGGATAGACTTACTAGTATTTAATCTAAAAAATTGGAGGAAACCAAGTCTAATTTTACGAAGTTCAAACTGATATAAACCTAAAATGTTATTAGATCAAAACTTTTGGAAGGGACAAGAGTCCTTTCCACTCTCCATATGCATATATCCCTGAATATGTAATTCGATATATCATGTTGATCGGAATATGATAAGTGCTTTATTTAGTTATTATTTTGCTTTTAAATTGCTCTGTAATCATTGGTTTTATTGGCTTATTTGTTCGTTTTGATTCATTTTCTGTGCAGTACCCTAGATTCTGGAAATTGCACTAAAATGATAGAATTATGCAGTTTTTTTATTTTTGGAATCAAAGCTGGATTAGTGGGCATGAAATGTCTGACGAGGCGATGACGTTAGCACCTTCTAGAAGGTCTAGTCAGCGCTTCTAGAAAAATGAATGGATCAGCCACACGTTTCTGCAATTCGGATTCGAATTAAACTCATGTTTTATGATATTATTTTAAATATTATATTTTATCTTATCTTATCTTTGTTTTAGGTATTTTAGTTTAAATAGTTTTAAGTATTTTAATTAGGATTTAGGATATTATTTTAAATATTTTATCTTATCTTTGTTTTAGGTATTTTAGTTTAAATAGTTTTAAGTATTTTAATTAGGATTTATTTTCTTTATTTTAGGATTATCGTTACCTTGTTTTTAAGATTTTGAAGGTTATAAATACCCTATCAGTGTAAGCCTAGAAACATATCTCTAAACAACTGAGAATTTACTATTTTTCTTCTCTCTAGTTTATAAAATTTTTTCTTTTATTTCCTTTCAAGTTGTCGAAATTTTTTATTTTATTTTAACGTTTTGTTTTCAAATATGCTAAGTTTGACTTTGGTCATGCTATGCTAATTTTCTTTTAAGCCGAAGACTCAATTCCAAACGTGAGAATTGTAACACACTTAAATCGCTTCAGATTTTTCTCTATGTTTTCTGGGCTTATTTTCAAATCAAAACAATTTTCAAAACCAAAATCCGGCGTTGGTCTGGATGTTGTTATGGTTAACATGAGAAGAAGGATCGGTTTATTGAAGTACATTCGACTTCATGTGAACACACTTACCAAAATTGTTTGCTAAGAGGAAACTGAGATCGGAATCAGTTATTGTTAAAACAACATAATATGAGTCGGTAACTTTTTGAACTTCAACGTACTAAGATCTACAAAATTGTTGTTGCTTAGATCAACTCACAAACCGAAATTTAAGAGTGCACTTGGATATTCGATATACAAAGCATAGTCACAAGGAATTGTCCTTGTAGACAAGTAGCCGACGTAAATCTTGAAGTAAAGATCTATTTCGATGATCCGAGGAATTTGAGACAAAGTTGAAGTTTGATGTTGTTCTTACCATAAGTCTTCTTTATCTCAATTTATTTTATTTATTTATTTATTTATTTATTTTTAATTTTTATCTCATTATACTTCTTTAAACCATATAAAAACTCCCCCTTCTTATCTTTATCATTATCTTATAATTATTATTTATTGTTTTATCTTTATCTTCCATTTAAAACAATTTATATTTTATTATTTTATTTTTATTTTTTTATCTTTATCTTTATCTGAAATTCTATCTCCATCTAAATCAAAAAGTCCACTAAATCAGAAACACCAGAGTCCCTATGAATCGACCTCGCTTCTCTATATTACTCTCACTTTTTACTTATTAAGAAGTCGGAATTATTTTGATAGCAAAACGACAGTTATCAGAATATTTATGTTTTTATGTTGATTCTTGTTTGCACTTAGAGGACACATTAAACTTTATAATTTATTCTTTTTTCTGATTTTCTTTTTTAGATTATCTAGATGTAGGATTAGTTCGATAACCGGAGATTTGATCTTGATTTTATATTATGCGGTGGTTAAAAATTGATTTACTTTCTTTAAACTCTAAAACCTTTAATAGTTTAATGGAGTATTGTTCTTCAAGCAATTGCGTCTTTAGAGTATGTATATATTATCAATGGCTAAGAAAAAAAATATGATTACTAGTTTGTTAGGCGAGTATGTACCAATTGCCATCGTAGTCGTTGTCCATAGATGACTAAAATCCCACCTAAGAAATCTCAGCACCAATCCGCCCCATACATTTATGTTTGTTGATTAGGTTGTTTAATTAAAATTCCTTGTTTTATTTCGTTGAAATGAGTAAAGGCTGCTGATTTTAAAGTCAATCCTTTTGGTCTTGCTAATATGTACTCTACTACCGTTGGCAAAATTTCAAACAAGCACAGCTATAGTTTACTGTATGTGATTGGGGTATTACTCCTAACCTAGAAAAAAGATGTAAGATTTATCAAAATGTTAACATTGAAAAAAAACAAGAAAAAGAAAAAAAGAAGAAGAAAAGGGCATTTATACATTTAATAAACATTTGGTACGTTGCCCTTGAGCATGTGTCAAACAGAATACATTGGCATAAAACACATTGTGCTGATGAACATGGGAAATCAATCTGGAAGGTAATTCTTAGGAGAAAAGAAAAGAAAATGAAAAAAGTGCGAGCTCTGCGATTCTTTAGCAAAGATGTACTGTGAATCAGATCAAGCCATCTTGTGCTGGGATTGTGATTCCAGAGTTCATGGTGCCAATTTTCTTGTTGCTAAACACCAAAGAACTCTTCTCTGTCACCTCTGTCAATCTCCAACGCCCTGGAATGGCTCCGGAACGAAGCTCGGCCCGACTGTTTCCGTTTGTGATAATTGCGTCGATCAGAATGATTCTAGAGAGGAGATTAACGACGAAGAAACACGCGATGATGACGAGGAGGAGGAGGAGGAAGATGATGGTAGTGAAGAAGACTATGATGGAGACGGCGGTGATGATGAAGAAAATCAAGTTGTTCCATTGTCATCTACGGCGCCACCGGTTTCCAGCTCCTCAACGAGTGAAGAATGTTCCGCCGGTTTCACAACGAGACGGTAGTAGATCCGATCCTCTTCTCGAGTAAGCTAATGTTTCTGTTTTGATCATCCAACACACATCATGAATTTTGTCAAAGATATCAGCTTCTCTAGATGCCTTTTATTTCATCCAAAACACCAGAAATAACAACACAACACTGTTTGATGTCTGCAAATGACAAAATCTTCTTCAAAAGCAGACATTTATGTTCCTTTTTTTTTTTCTTGTTCAATCATCAGCTAATTGGATTTCACCATTGTATAGCTGCAAATGTTGAAGGAGACCAGTAACATCTAATAAATTTTGTTTTTTTAATCCATTTTATCATGCAAATATGTAGAAAACAGCATCAACCTCAACCTAGGATCAGATATTAGCATAAATTTCAGAGGTAAATTGCATTATAATTATGACATTTTTAGTATTTTAAGAAGATAGCACCACATCTCCAATAACGACAACATTTTCATTATCCTTGTTTTTGTTCATTTTCCGACACATTTTGAGTGGAATCGTGACAGGCCAATTTCCCTTTAATTATTGGTATCTCTCACTCAATATTTTCGTGCCTCAGAATTTACTTAATTGTTTTATTATATAAAATGAGTGTGACAAGTGGAATTAACCCTTTACATGTGCAACTAGGATTGAATTATCTGACCAATAAAACCCAGAATTCCATTTACATTCATGTAATTAAGTTCACCTTCACCACAAGATTCACAGAGACAAAACCGTTGAAAATACCAAAGGTTGTTTTCAATGTTTTTTTTTTTTTTTGCACGCGCCACTAGTTTTGGGCACTTCTGTGCATAAGTTGTTTTCTTGTATTTATAAAATGCAAACAAAATCAATTGAATTTCTGCATAAAAAACACTATTAAACCATATGTTATCTTTGATCAATTTGATCTATTAATTAATAAACGAACTAATTAGATGATAGCATATGACATCAGTATTCTATCATTAGATGCTTATGTTGCAATTATTGATGGTTTTTTTCCGTTTTCTGATAGAACAAATAATACCAGATATGTTGTACGTTCTATTTGTAATAAATTATACAAAATAAAAGAGCGAAATCCGCTTGATACCCTTTTGAAAATAAAATAGGAACATTGAAACTATGTTGTTTTCACCAAAAATCACCCAAATATTATAATATTACCTAGCAGGCATCGTTTTCCTAAATTTTACAGATCTAACATCCTTTCTGACAAGACGTGTTATATGAAATGTGCATTTGCTTAGGTGGAACGAAGGCGTGTTCCTTGAAGCACGCCTTCCAAGAGAAATGTTCACATGGTAACATATGGGAAGACACATTTCAAAGGGAGCGCCTTCCAAGGTCCACATTAGATTCCCTAAAAGCATTTTAAAAAAATATGCTTTAAAAAATTAAAAAATAAAACTATAGAGACTAACATCGTAATTTAATATAGAGAAAATAACTTCAGTGACAGAAAATACCTTATAATATACGATTTTAACTAATTTTTTTTGGATTTGCGAAAATGACAAACAAATTCGCAACGCGAACTCCAATTTCGCAACACAGTTTCCAAATTCGCAACACGAATTTGTAATTCTCAACACATAAGTCAAATTCGCAAAGCACATTTATTTTCGCAACGCGAATTTTATTTTTGAATTCGAAACACAATATTAATTTCGCAACACAAATGTAATTAGCGTTGTGAATTTGGAGAATTGCGTTGCGAATTTGAAAACTGAGTTGTGAATAGTTGTGTTTACCTATATCGGTAATTAGCGTTGCGAAATTTGAGTTGCGAATTTGAAAATCGCGTTGGGATTTTGAAGAATCGCGTTGCGATTTTGGAGAATCGCGTTGCGAATTTGAAAACTGAGTTGCGAATAGTTGTGTTTACCTATATCGGTAATTAGCGTTGCGAATTTGATAATCGCGTTGCGATTTTGGAGAATCGCGTTACGAAACTGGAGTTCGCGTTACGAATTTGTTGGTTATTTTCTCAAATCCAAAAAAAATTGTTAAAATCGTATATTATAAGGTATTTTCGGCCACTGAAGTTATTTTCTCTTTAATATATATTAGTTCCATGAGTTGAATGGAGTTGGTTTATATAGGCATATTGGAGTGTTTAAGTTATGTTTATTGATAATGTAGGATAAAAGCTAAAAGGTATATTCTTAATTTTTTTTATCTCTATAACTAATGAATCTACTTATACACTATTGTTAAATTACATTAGGTTAATATTTATTATTAAGGTTTATATTAATTAAGATTAGATAATTTTTTATATGTTAATATATTTAAATAATTACATTAGGTTAATATTTATTATTAAGGTTTATACTAAAATTAACTTTTGAAGTTGATATATATCAAAGGGGAAATGGTATACTCATGTAAGATCGAATATAAGATTAATTATATTTTGGCAGCTCAAATGCCTTAAAATAATGTATGTTCTTTTGTTTTAAATCTAGATTATGAGATAATGGGTAATTTTCATGTAATTTATTTAATTATATATTTTTGTTGTAGTAATTTGAGATGGAATATGCTACAAAATGTTATTTCTTCTGAAATTAGCGAGTTTAAGAGTCAGACACATCTGTAAGTAGCATCTGGAAGTATTTTTTTTTCACGTTATGATAATCAAGATTGTTGCTTCCTTCTAACTGGAAAATTGATTAAGTATATGAGCTTCAACAATTTTAAAAGTGAGATCTCAAAGGAGCTTGCGAGTCTACCAGAGCTGAAAAGATTATGAATTGTTTTCTAATTGATATATATCAGCTTCAAAAGTTAATTTAGTATAAATCTTAATAATAAATATTTATTATTAAGGTTTATATTGTTAAAACTTTCAACATAAGCATCTACTTATTGTGATGAAAAGATTACAAATTGTTTTCTAAGTTATATATATCAACTTTAAAAGTTAATTTAGTATCTAATACTTTTTTATTATGTTTCTTGATAAATTTCTATATAAACCTCACATCTTACATGTTAATGGCACCAAGCAATATATTTTCTTCATATTTTTATATTTTATTCAATTTAAATTATAGATCTAATTAATCATATTCAATAAATAATACATTTATATGTCAATGAAATATTTTTAATTTGTGTTACATAAATTTTTTGAACTCATAATCAAAAAATAAGTATTTAAATATTAACGTATAAAATATCTAATCTTAATTAATATAAACCTTAATAAATATTAACCTAATATATTTAACAATAGTGTATAAGTATATTCATTAGATATAGAGATAAAAAAATTAAGGAATAAACATTTTAGCTTTTATCTCACATTGTCAAGAAACATAACTTAAACACTCCAATATACCTATATAAATTAACTTCATTAAACTTTTCAACTCATGAAACTAATATGTATTAAATTAAGATGTTAGTCCCTATAATTTTATTTTTTAATTTTTTTAAAGCATATTTTTTTAAATGCTTTTAGGGAATTTGATGTGGATCTAGAAGGTGCTCTCCTTAAAATGTGTTTTCTCATATGGTATCATATCAATATTTCTCTTGGAAAGCGCTCTAGATAGTATTTTCAATGTATAAAATTAGTTGTGTTATATCAATATTATAATACTATCTATCCGGCACTATTTTCTTAAATTTTACCTAATTGATAGTATTATAATATTTGAGTATTTTTAGGTAAAAACGCCTAAAACTATAGAAAATCAAATAATTTTTTCAATGTATAAAATAGTTAATTAAAATTAGATATTTATAAGAAAAATATCATTAATAAATTATTAAATAAGACAAAAACTATTATAATAAGTATTAGAAATAAAATTTTATTTAAAATAATATCTTTCTTTTTTATTTATATTATCTAGCAATCCCAACGTAAATAAATATTTTTTATTATTAATTTGGGATAAGTACAAGGCAATATATTTTCAAAGATAACTCTCAATCATTTGACATTGAATGCTTACACCCCTGACATTCATGATGCTCGAACCCAAAACCTCAAAGAATAGTAACAATTCATTTACCACTGATGTTGTTCGGTTCATGTTAAGTAAAAAAAATTTGATGAACAGAAAAGAACAACAATAAAATTAATTTCTTTTAGCATTAATATCTATTAAATTTGAACTAGTGTACAATGAAATAAGAATTTTTTCCCTTCACAGATGAACGAATCTTGAATATATTAAAATAGGAGTAAACTTATGATGTACGATTAATCACATTTAATTGAATTTTACGATAAATCAATCAGTTAATATATATCAAAGAAGCAAGTAAGTACTTTGAAAGATAGCAGAATGTCTTTTAAGAAAGGTAGCTAATTCTTCACACATACAATGTTGATTTCATCTCATCATTTCTATTTAAATATAGATCACTTGAATCAAAGTTATGAAATCATTAAAGTATTCACTAATCTATCCTCATAATTTTTAAGATTCGATGATTCAACAAGTTCATCTCACGACGACTACTCCAAGCAGTGGTGGGCTCATCTTAAAATCTAAATTTCTTCATATTAGTTGTCAATTTTACTATGGGTGTCTACTCTGAAAATTTATTTGTACTCACCCCATACAAAAAATTTCAATAATTAATATGTGTGTGTTCACCCTTAAAAATATTTTTTGATCTGTCATTAACTCAAATCGTAAGATATGAATCTTATCAAATTAGTAAATTCATCAAGCTTTGGCTCAAAAGGACCACTCAAATTATAAACTATGAACTCGTTAACGTATAAAAACTAATCCTTTCTCATTAGCGGATTCATCAATTGGCCAAAACTTAGGCTATGAATCCGTTAAGAGTAAAAGTTCAGCCTTATACATATATATTGTTTGTCACAATTATAGGTAAAGATATACATTATGAATCATTATACGACTTTGTTTGACTACATTGAACTTAAAGACAAAATTATGCATTCACAATAAATTCTCCAACCAAATATTCGTCTTCCACGATAAACCATGAATAATTTTCCCTTTAATTTCTAAGTTAAGGGATCAACAAAAAATTCTCTTTAATCCTTTCGTATCTCAAAGCAATGGCGGAATTTGGTGATAAGGTTTGAGGGGGTTAACTTAAAACTTTAAAAATTTAGAGGTTTAAATTTTGAAAGGTTTAGTTTACAT